AAACTTGGACAGACAACCGGTCATCCAAGTTGACTACTGTTTTCTGACAACCGGTGATGGATGCCCAACCGCGACTGTTCTTACTGCTGTAGACATCCAAACTGGATTCGGTTCAGCTGTCGTGACTCCTAGCAAAGGTAGAGACCAGTACTCTATTGCTGAACTGAAACGTTTTGTTTTTGAGATTGGAAGAACTTATGGTATCATTCAATACGACCCAGAACCTTCACTGAAGGCTTTGGTTTCAGAAACGCTGATCGAACTTGGCGGAATGTCCATGAGAGCAACTCCACGTGACTGGAAACAGGCACATGGTTTTGCAGGTAAGTTTCAACCAAACTTTTACGGTCAAGCAAGAGCAATCAGACTGCAACTGCCGGAGCGATACAATGTGCAAATTTCTGTGCACCATACTGTTTATCCATGGATTGCGAAACGCGCTCAGTTTACTTTGAACCGTTTTCTCACTCACTCTGATGGAAACACCTCATACTTTCGACGTTGGAAAGAACTATAGCTCGACTGTGTGTGTGAGTTCGGAGAAACTGTTCTGTTTCGTTATCCTGGAAAACTGAAAGACAAAGGAGACACTGCATGGAGCACTGGCATTTGGTGAGGACGTGATACTGAGGCTGATGAGCACATTGTGTCCACTGGAACTGGCATCACTAAGGTGAGAACTATCAAGCGACAGGTCCCATCCAAACAATGGGATCAGAAACTGTTTCTGAGACTTCAGGCGACTCCTTGGGATCCAAAAGCGAAACAGGCGATTGACACTTCATTTGTTTTGCCTCCAACTTTGACTTCCACTGGAAGAGTCCGTGAACCACCAGGACTTGAACGTGAAACTCAAACGGGTACTGAGGATTTACCAACGGAAGAGACTCATGAGACTGTCACTGAAACGCAAGACGACTTGAAACGCTTGAAACGACTGAAACTGAAACGAGACTTGCACCAGAAACGAGAGTTAGAAACGAAAAACGAATCGCTGAAAATCAAGAACTTCCTGAAGACTTGCTTCCGGATGACAAACGGCTCACTTTTGCTGCAATCGGTGTTTTCTCTGTCACTTTGAAAGACGGAACTGAAGTTCCCGTCGCAGTAAACGAAGACACTGAAGAGAAACAGACGGAAATCAAACTGAATGAACCTCAACTGTTGAGAACTGAACCAGAATTTCCTGATGAACTTGTCATCGAAGGAATGCAAAAGGAAATGAAAAGCATGAAAGAATTTGATGTGTATGAAGAAGTTCCAATAGAACAGTGTTCGCAAGAAGACATTGACTCAGCACTTGACTGCAAATGGGTGAAATGCTGGAAGACTGCAAACACTGTCAGATGCAGACTCACTGCTCGCGGATGCTTTCAAGAAAACATGGATCAAGACACTCTGTTCGCAAGTACACCTACATTGGTGACACTCAGAGCACTGCCTGTTATGATGTTGTCTAGAGCATGGTCATGTTTTACTTGTGACAAAAGCACTGTGTTTCTTCATGCACTCATGATGGACCGTGTAATGCTGATTCCACCAAAAGAGTACTCCTGGGCAGAACCGCCTCTGGAGACTGAAACGAGCAATGTGTGGTTTGAAGCAAGCGCCAGCACTGTGGCAACAACACTTTTGTTCAACGATGCTGAAACTCGGAATGAGGCGCTGCAAAGCTGATCCGAACTTGTACTGTCATCCCTCTGGCGGCTTGTATGTCCTTTGCTACGTAGATGACCTTTTGGTTTGCGGAAAGCACGAACTTGCCGTGCAATTCACCAAAGACTTGGAAAAGGAAGTTTTACTCAAAATTGAAGCTGAACTGAAGCCTGGTAAGTCAGTAAAAATTTCTTGGACGCGTTTTGCGACATAAAGGCGACAGCGTAGACATTTGCATGCCGCAAGACTACATCACTAAGACGCTGGACTTGTACAACATGGTCAAGGCTAAAGCGGTAGGAACCGCGGGTACCACTAGTTTTTCACACCGACTGGACTTGGATGATCCACTAAGCGCTGACGAACACAAAGTTTATCGCACTGCTGTTGGAAAACTGTTGTGGTTAGCTTTGATCAGACCAGACATGTCCTATGCGACTAAGGAACTTTCAAGAGACCTGACTGCACCGACACACCGAAGTTTACTGAAACTGAAACACTTACTGAGGTACCTTGCTGGAACTAAGGACTATGTGCACCGACTTCGTGCGGGGATCACTCTTAGTAGCAACAAATGCACTCTTGATTTGGACTGTTTTGTGGACAGTGACTGGGCTGGTTGCCAGTGAACTCGAAAATGAACTTCAGGCGTTGTTGTCAAACTCCTCAATTGTCCTGTAGACTTTTGCGCAAGAACTCAGGGTACTATCGCGCTCTCCTCAGGAGAAGCCGAGCTGGCCGAGCTGTACGCGATAGGACAAGGAATTTCCGAAACACTGTACGTAAGAAACTTGATTCTCGATGCGGAACTGGCAAGGAAAGTCAAACTCCACATTTACACTGACAGCACAGCAGGAAAGAGCATGGCAACTAGGTTTGGTTCTGGAAAGAAAACCAAGCACGTTGAACTGAGATTTTTGTACATGCAAGACTTGGTTTCGCGGGGAGACCTCCAAATACGCAAGGTTCATACTACTGAAAACTGCGCCGACCCCTTTACTAAATACTTGGACACTGAAACTTTGAAATCGCACTTAGGTAGGTTATGTGTTGAAACTGTTTTTCGTTGTTTTGATTTGTAACCTCGAACTATACAGGCACTGTTTCACCAAGACACTGCGGAAACTCACTTTGCCAGACTAAGTTTTCAAAGGGGAGACTGCTGCTGAACTGCCGCTGAACTGTGGCTGCAACTCAGCACTCTCACTTCGCACTGAATTTGGCCAAGAGTTCACTGAGTTTTGCTTTTTGCCGAATTTCAAGAAATCAAATCTGCATGACTGTTTGAATTGAGTACAGAACGGTGCTCGAGCACAGGAACTGAATTCGACTCTGCAACTCGTTTTTTGTGGTTCAAACCCACTCGCTGTTTGATTGCAATGACTGGTAGAGACTGAAAAGGAGTACTACCAGGTACTACGTCACTGTCGCGCTGCACTACCTCCTCTCTGACACTGAGGATGGCAACTGAGACTGCCGCCGTGGCCGTCGCACAGAATGGAGAGACTCAGAATACTGATGTAGCACTGACTGCTGTTCCAGACACTGACGCCTACAATACTGTGATTGAGATGCTGAAGAGTCTTAGTGCTACTCAGCTGGGACTGTTGGAAAGTGTGACTCGCCAGATGCTGGATCGCAACGCAGCACTGGAAAAGAAGTGCACTCACCATCACTGAGCTGTCCTGCACTACAGTGGACCCACTGTACCTGTGCCGTACTACTCGGCCCACTGCGACTGCCAAGTGCAACTCCTTTGGACTTGGACTGCTGGTCGCACAGAAGACTGGCTACGAGTTTGCTGATGATGTGTGGATTGGCGTACTCTCCCAACTCGGTGTTCCCGGGTCTGAGTGCTGCCCACTACGCCTACCCAGAGACAGAACTGCGACTGTACTCGCAGCCACTGCAACGGGTGACTACTGAGTACACTCACCTGGCTGACAGGCAGGTGGACTACCCTGTCTTCCTGTCACTTCCACTCACATTGTCAGACTTGGCACTGGCAACCGGGGAATCCCAACTGAGTGGTTTGATTGTTCACTGTGCAACTTGTGGACTGATCTTCGAAGCGCTTTGCTGTACTCAACACTGCAACTGTGGAAAGGTCAGGAGAACTTCCAGAAGTACTCCACTGAGCCACTGAGGGTGACTGCTGTGTGGCTCGAACGCACTAAGGTTGCTGGACTGAAGCAATTCAACCGAGGATACTTCAGCCACTCCTATGTGAATGCAACTGGTGCTGTGAACTTCAAACTGACTGACTTAGAGACTGAGTCAAGTCAGACCTTCCAGACTGCCTATACACTGGCGGACTTTGCCGACTCACTGCCCAAGGAACTGAATGGCACTCGCTACTGCAATGCTCATCGTCGTTTTCTTTTGAGCACTTGCCACTGACTCAGTTCCAAATGGAGAAGGCTGGACTTGCCAGCACTCCAGCTGAACTGAAGAAGTTCACCTGGGACCACAACTATGGCACTGGAACTGCGGCCTTGCCAATCACTGAGACTGGCACTGATCTCAAGGTTGACATCCAGATCAGCGGACTTGGACCGTCATCCACTGACACTGTGATCACTGTGAAGAAGGCCGACTGAGATGACACTGAGAGGCTCTGAATTCAGACTGTTAGCAATAGGAGTAAGCACTCAACTGAGAATGCTGAAGACTAGGCTGACTGTCTCTGCATGAGTCTTGGAACTAGCACTTTAGACTTTGACAAGTGTATTGAAGTCCGTACTTCTCAAGACTTGGACTGTTTAACTTGCACGTACTGTAATAAGTGTGGACCCTAAGTGACTCAATTGGACTGCTGATCCAAAGGGGGGTGTTAGATATGACTGTCACTCTGCACTCCACTGCACAGTACACTGAATCTACTGCACTGCCAAACTATGGTTTGGCTCAAGTGGCACTAGGAACTCAACTGACGCTGTGAGACGTTGTACTGTGACTGATAGACTGGCGTGAGTGAAAACTAGAAGCTGACTGACACTGCACTGTTTGGTGGACTTGAAAGTGAACTTGAAGCTTCGCAGTTTGTGTGTGTGCGTGTTCGGGTTTTTTCCCCACACTCCTTTTTGCATCTGCTTCAAGGTTTGTGCCGGCCAGCGATATATCAGTTGATATTGGTTCCATGGTGGAATCGTTCTGGCTTCCCGCATCTAAGCCTCTCAGGAAAAACTTTCGGCTGCATCAGTTGCAGCTGGAGAAAATTCAAAAGGTTCATCTGGCTTTCTGTCAGGTCTCAGCGCTGGCAAGGTGTGCAGCTGCAGTTTCTTGCATCGGCGTTCTGGGCACGTATTGCGCCCTGACCATCCAAAACATTGTTGCGCATCGAGTCATCCAATGCGGTGCATGCCATGCAGAACTATAGGTGGCGCCAAGAGCCATTCTGCAGGGGACGTGGTATTCATCAAGGATGGTGCAATGCGCAAGGTTGCCAATCCTGAATGCGTCATGAGGGCAACAATCTGGTATTCGGCTTGGTCGTATACAAGGCCCTGATGGGAAAAGACATCATGCATGCTTCTGTCCAGTTGGATGCAAAGACAAGGTGGTGCCTCCAGTAAGGCCGTGCACATTCCATCAACCTGGCGCCAGATAGAGAACAGTTGAGTGAACGCATGGCATGAGCAAGGTGATTGTCAAACCGCGGGCAAATTGGCATGGTGGGAGTACCTTGGTCAAAAACAATTGCTTGGCCATTTTCCTCAAATCTGCGTTCCCAACCCATGTGAAAAGCTTGGTCTGGAAGCTGGTTGAGCCAGACATGGACAAACTCTGCTGCGTCTTGTTGCGGCAGCATGGAAGGATCAGTGTGTTTATCCGAGTTGCCCCAACAACCCAAGATGTCTTGAAACCATCTTTCATCACATAAATTGGCAGGAGAGTCATGGTGTTTCATGAGAAGGTCTATCAACATCTGGCGTTGTGCACCCCAATGCCTCAGATCGCATGGTTCCATGGACAGTGTTGTCCAAAGAAAGGAATACACAGCCGCATCGGCAAAGCACAAGTTGCCCGGGTTCTGCAACGTGAGATGTGCTAAGTGCGGCAGCAGCACTCGGGTGTCAGGCTGCTGGCCACTGTGCCCAAAGTTCATTCCTGTTTGGGTTCCTTCTTGAGCTTCCCCGTGCCTTTGCCCTTGGGTGGCTTGGACATCCCCAAGGCTTGCTGCAGATCGTAAGCAAGAGGACTCTGCCGTAGGCTGTGCGGTTTCATGGATGTCCCCATGAGGAGCCATATCCCTGAATGGGCCAGGGTTTGCAGAAGTGCCACGGCTGATCTGCTCTGCTCGCAGGTTCACTTGGAGTTTCCATGCTGTCACCTCCTTGCTGGACGAGGGAAGTGCATGGAAGTTGGTCGCCAGGTGCACATCGGCCAAGTGTTCCAGCATGCCCGTGCAGAGTTGATGAAGGTGCTTCATCGTCAGAGGTCTTTTGTGACTGATCTTCAACTGTTTCTGGGATTGGTCCCATTCCAGATAAGGGCACGTCTTGTCTGGCAAAAGAATCATGCTGTTGATGGCTGCCTGCTGTATCTCCGAGCCATCCCGCGTCTCCCCCAGCTGCTGCAGGGTGTTGAAGAGGACTTGCAGGAGGTGCTGCCTCAACGGAATCACGTGGACTTTCGGGGATGGTGACTGGTAGTTCTGGACCCAGTCTTCCGTAGCCTGCACCGCTGTTGTTTGGGCCGTTGTGCCCGAAAAAGAAGATGAAGGTGTCCTCCTTTTTCAGCTGCTGTAGATCCCTGTCTAGCCGTATGGCTAATTTTGCCATCAGCGGCACGGCGTGAGCCAAGTTGACCGTGTCCTTCAGCTGGTGCTTGGAGTGGCCTGGCTGAGCTTTGGCTGGTTCTCCTCTTCTTGGACGCTTGGGTGCCGCTGAGTTGGGCTCCAGGGTCAACATCTTGTCCAGCATCGGAGTGATGGCCCGAAAAGCCGCCAGAACCTGGTTGGACATTTCGTCGGTGTCGTGCATATCCATGGCGTCCATGGGCTGATTTGCCAAGGATGATGGCAGTTTGGAGCAGGCAAGGACACTGGGCTCGGAAGTGTGCTTGAGTTGAAATCAGCCGTGCATCATCATGCGTGTTGGAGTCAGCAGGGCAATTGTACGTTTGCATGCAAGCAGAGCGCTGGTAGTCATTGGCATTGCATTCCACAAACTTGGATACCAGCTGTTGTATCAAAAACTGCACGATGGGTTGTCCACACTGGTGTGCCTCATAGAGGTTGCTGACCAGGTCAGCCGGATGCATGGTGGTGCCACAGAGCACACAGGTCTGCCTCAGCATCATCTGGTGAGCCTCAGCTGTCCAGAAATCATGCAGGGTTCTTTCTGTCAAAGCGCGTTGAAGCATAAACCTTTGCGTGCGGTCCAAGGTTTGTGAAAACAAGGCTGCAAGCTCTTCTTCTGTGGGGTTGTGTGGAAACAGGATGTCTCCAGTCATGCGCATGTGCTGCATCGCCAGTTGGCGCAATGGCAAGCAGATGTGATTTACCCGAGGGGCACTGACACCAGGGTTGCAGATGCAACCAGCTTCATTGTAGATGAGGCTCACCATGATCCGTGTCAACATCTGAGAGTCTGACCAAAGCTGGGCATGGGCAGCTTGGAGATGTCCGGAGAGATTTGCGCCGCGTGTGTAATGGCAACTGCAATTCTGACCTCTCAGCGTGAGCTGTAGTCGTACATGTGGATCTCTCAAGGTGTCAGCAAAAAGACCCTTACACATGGCTGCTTTCCACTGTGACAAAATGTCTACTACTTCCGTGGGCATATCTTGATTGAACTTGGGACCTCGGCCCTGGTTGATGTGTGAGCGCAGGGAAGCCATGTTGTCGTACATCGCATGGCAATGGTTGCGGACTGGCTCACCATCAAGTGTGTCTCTGGCAGGGTTTTTATAGCTCCCACTGGACAATCTGTGGACATTGACAAGATGCTCGTGTACATCATCATGGCTTGGAAAGGTATCCAAGCAAATTTCACGCCGCATGGTCACTGGCACAGGCGTGGCGTCTGCTGCAAGGCCTCCACCATACATTAGGAGCATCGCCAGCTGCGTCCATACTTGGCACTGGTGGTTGGACTTAAAGAGCGCATTGCAGTATGGGCAAGGTGGGTCCTCGCCATACAGGTTGGTGAGCTGAATCCCTTTGGGTTGCATGTGAGTCCAATTTTCATGGTGGTGCAACTTGTAGTGGCGATGCAAGTCTTGGGTACGCCCCAAAAATTGATCACACAGGCAGCATCTATTGGCCAAGTACGTGCAAGCATCAGTCTCCTTCTTCATGCCGTGTCAATCTTTGGAGCCCACAATTGTGAGCATTCTCCCTCCCCACTCCTGGCTAAGGATGTTCTGAAGATTAGCTTCCGTCAAACTGGCGGTGCCTCTGGCAAGGCCATCTAGTTTGGGTGCAAACATGTGCTCAGGCAAAGGCAGGTCGGCTGCAAGCGGCCAATGGCCAGGTTGCCAGCAGCCCGGTGGTCCCGCACAGAGTACCTGGCATCCACGTAATGCGCGCTTAAAAACTTCTCCATGTGGTGAAGGTCATGTGGCAGTACTTGCATTGCGGCAGGTCATGTGTCATGTTATGTGCAGGAGTCACATGGAGGCGTCTGTGCATGGGTTGGCCATGTGCAATGGCACAATGAAGTGTGACACATCATTGGTGAGAAACCCACATTTGTGACATATCAGGTCTGCTCTCAGGTGGGTCACGTCAGTCACCTCGGGAATGATCAGGACGTCAGCGCCTGTGTTCGTGGGACTGCTGAACCAAGTGATCAGCTCTGTGAGGTGAGCCGAGTCTAGTTGATGAATAATATCTGTGTCAACGGCATGCGTCAGTCTGTTCAGGATGGACCTCTGCAAGCACTCAGCAGCGCTCTCAACAATCATGCAAGTGGAAGCGCAACACGGTTCTGGGCAAGTGCTTGTTGATGCATCTGTCCTGTAATGTAGGCATGATTGCAAAGGATTTTGCGTAACATACAAAACATTGTTTTTTGGATGCTCTGCAGGCCATGTGGCGTGATGCCACTTGCAAAAATGCCATGTCAAGACTGGAAAAACGCATGTCGAAAAGAGTTGAACCCTGTTGGATTTCTTCAAACCTCTGGGGCCGGTCAGCCAGCGCTGCAAACGTCCAAATGCAATGCGTGCAAGCCGAAGCCTATGCTTGACTGTGTGATCTTCCATGTGTTTGTAAGAAATCGTAGTGCCCAAATTTTTCGCTGTGGCAGCAATTGGGATCCACAGTGGTGTCTGTGTTGTGCATCTTGCGCGCACCTTCCGGTGCGAGGTGCCGCCCATGGTGAGCAAGGCTGTGCATTTGGCAGGATTGATGGTCAGTCCAAATTGTTGAAGAAGGTGCAAGGTTGTGTTGATGTTTTCAAGTAGCTGGTCAAGTTCTTGATGGTCATGAAACACATCTCCCATCTGGCAGTCATCAGCGTATACATTGAAGCACCGTAGGACCCAAGACTGGCCACCCTGCTGAGCTCTACCAGAAACCACCACAAGTACCCATTCCACAAAAAGGGTGCAGCGCGGCACCCCTGTCTGACACCCTTCCCTACCAAGAGGGGGGTGTCTTCTCCATTGCAGTAAATGTGAGTAACTGATAGTAACTGGACAGTCTGGGGGTTGATGCCAAGTTCATGAAGTCGTTGAAAAAGTTTTTCTCTACTGATCATATCAAAGGCATGTTCAATATCTAAAAGGAGCTGCAACCCTCCTGCAAGTGGTAGGCTTTTGTGGCCTTTCTGCCGTGTGAATGGGGTGCTACACAAGGTCTGCATGAGGGCACGGGCCTCCCTCGGCAGCGTGCTGCAACTCTCAAGAGCGCATCTTGTGTGGACCTCCCTGGCAAATAGGCCCAAAGGGGCATTGTCACAAAGCTCGGAAGAGCTTCTGTCAGCGCCTTTTTGGTGAGCAAGCCTACTATGCTTTTGCTGATGGGTTCTTGAAGTGCTAATGGTCTGAGCGCCCTACTATCACGAAACCAGCTGGGAAGAATTGGTGTGGGTCTAAACCACCATTCCTGGAGTTTGGCATGAAGAAAAGGTGCAAGATCATTGGCCAGGCATTTCCACACCGCGCCGGGCGCGCAGGGGCGTGCCACCGCCTTTACGGCGGGGATTCTGCTCAGTTCAGCAGCCAGGTCATCAACCGTGAACGGCATGCCTGTGATGCTGTGAAATGACTGGACATGTGGTTGGTCCCCTCCATGTGTCCAGGACAAATTGATTGAGTATGGATCTTTCTTCAATTAGCGTGGCTCTTTGACCCTGTGCGTTTTGGGGGAATATCGATTAATTATGCAAAAGGGTTCATGGGTGTTATGATGTGAGGCAGCAACTTGAGCACTGGCAACAATCTCTTGAAGTCTGAGTTGGCGGACAAGTCTGGCATGCTTTTTGGAATCTCGATTCAACCGAGTGAACCTGATCAAGTGGTGTCAGGCTTTAAAACAGCCTTTCAGGTTTGGCAGGCTCAGTTTCAGCAACTGTTTGCGGTGGTTCCATTTGTTCATGACAATTGCATCAGTGGTGGTGTTTGCAGTATGGTAACGCCTGGTTTCAACTGGACAATGTGATTGGAAACATTGTGTGGCAATGTCATGCAAAGTTGGAACAAACTGTTCATCTGAGGTCTGGGCATTCCGTAAAGAAAAGGACAGCTTCTCGGTCGTTTCAGCAACAAACTTCTGCCAGCACTGTGAGTTGGTGCTAAAGGCATGATGCCCAACGCGTCTCTGCTGGGGCCTGATGCCCATGGCCAGTGATTTGGGTGAGTACCACTGTTTGCGCAGTTGTGTGAGGATCGGTGCATGTCCAAGTCTTGCATCACTGCAGAACGGTGCATCCCAAGCATATCCTACATCTTTGGCAATTCCGTCAGCAACATGTTTCCTCGTTATGGCAAAATCAATGCGGGAATGGGAGGTTGCTTGGACAAAGGTCGGACCTAAGTTGGGGTTCCACGTGTTGAGGGCTGTGAGGCCATGCACTCGAAGGATGTGAAAATACACCTTCTGTGAGCTGTCTTGGAGTAGGTCGTCAAGTTGACGCCACCATTGGGCCCGCTCTTGCTGTCTTGTCATACCGGTGGCCTGAGTATGCTGGTAACAGCCTACCACATCGCTGCTTCTGCCAGTCTGCTGGAGTTGGATATGGATGAGACGGCCAGGTTGCACTACCCTCCATTTGATCTGGTCAGCCCTACAAAATCGGCGGGGGATGACGCAAAGAATCCCCAGGCCGGTGTGTGATGGATGTCCTGCAGTGTGCACGTAGTGAAAATGGTCATCTGTCCATTCATTCTCATATGTCCATCTGGTTTCGGCTATCACGGTGATGTCAATGTGTTGGTTCAACATCCAAACCTTGAGTGCATCCAAACGATACACCCCCAATCCACCTGCATTCCATTGGACAATGCATGAGTGGTTTGGACGGCAGCTTTGGGCTCGGCAAGATGCTCGGCTTATATGAGTCACGCAAGGCTTTCAGGAAATTATTGGGGGGTGAGGCATCTGCCACGGTACCATGAAACACCATGTTGTACAGAGCGGGCAAAGGCTCTTTTGATGCTGCGTTTGACTACTGGCTTTTGTGCAGGAAACCGGGCCAGTGCCTCTGGGCGTGTTTCTGGCCGCGTTCCATGTGATTTCGTGTCTCCTTGTAGGAGCTGTTGTGGTGTCCAAGTGTCTGACACTCCTGCACTTGTCATGGTCCAAATGCAACCCTCGCTCCTAACAAACTCAGCAAAAAAGTGCAAATTCAAACAGCCTTGGACAAGCAGTCTCTGGTGGAGGCCGTTGGACCTGCAGTAGAGATTGTTCCTGGACTTGGGACCAGGTTTGCACCACGTTCTTGATTTGAAAAAGATAGCACTCAGCCTATTCTCGTTCCCCGTTTGTTCAAGTTTGTGTTCAAAAAGGCAATGCGCTCTACGCTGATGTCGCCCTCTGAAAACGAAAAACAACGTGGCAAAGGAGGTTGCAGCTGGGTCTGGCAGCTGGGTCTGTTGCCAAGTTGCAGTCAATGTGAAAAACTGTAGTGGTGTGTTTGTGTGTGTGTGTTTGTGTGTGCGTGCGTGCGTGCGTGCGTGCGTGCGTGCGTGCGTGGGTGGGTGGGTGGGTGGGTCTGTGGGTGTCGTTTGTGGGTGGGTGGGGTGGTGTATTATTTGTTGTGCGTCGGTGCGTGGGTCGTGGTGGCCGTGTGAACGTGTGGCGTGTGGGCGTGTGGGCGTGTGGGCGTGTGGGCGTGTGGGCGTGTGGGCGTGTGGGCGTGTGCGCGTGTGCGCGTGCGCGTGTGGGTGTGGGTGTGGGTGTGGGGGTGGGTGGTGTGTGTGTGTGTGTGTCAAGCTCTGTACCAAAGAGTTCCTCACTTTCTTGCGACTGATTCCAACCAACTAGTTTTCAACTGCTTTCCACCATACATTTTGGATACCGTTGCATTTTAATTCATAGCAGGGGGCACAAGGACCTTTGGTGAGTCTTGTGCCAATGAAGACCACCTTAGGTTGTGAAAACGTACCTGCATTCACCTTAGGTTGTGAAAACGTACCTGCATGATGCACCTGGATGACATACCCAATATGTTGGGGTCATAGCTGGTGGTCATATTCGTATCTGTTAGTACTTTATGGGATCAGGCTAACCCAAGAACCTGCATGCCGTCATTCAGTCATTTCATGATCACGTTTGATTGAGTCGTATTGGTTTCTCTTTTAAACAACCTGACATTCAAATGTCAACGGATAAGCTTGGCCTTTTTAACTCGGTATGGCCGAGTGATGCCTTCAATCTACCATGAGGTAATCAGACTTTGCATTCATGAAAAGAGACCGTCTTTCATGACTTCGCAAGTGTGTGTGTGTGTGGGTGTGTGTGTGGGTGTGTGTGTGGGTGTGTGTGTGGGTGTGTGTGTGTGTGGGTGTGTGTGTGTGGGTGTGTGGGTGTGTGGGTGTGTGTGTGTGTGTACCATCTGAACAGATGTAAAACTTCTGATTGGTTTTCACTAATTTGCAGGGGGCACCTGGAGCATGGATAGGTCAGGTGCCAACGAAGACACCTATCCAATGCTTGTGATATCACGGCTGATCACCGTGACGTACCTGCCAATTTACTGAAATGGGAAGAGGCTCAACCCAAGAACCTCCACGTCGTCCATTTGAAATTTCAATTTACTGCACTGTTGACGCAATCTGGAATCAATTTTGACATTTACATGCATCAGAACCTTCCTCTGATTTTCGCCGAAACCATATCGCCGACAGTATTATGTTTTTTGACTTATTTTCGCCGAGATCCTGTCGCCGACGAACTATGGGTTATTTTGGGAAACAATCGCCGAAACATTATTTTGGATTTCAACATGCTGGTCAAAACTCTATGGAATCTGGTTATGACTACGTTTGACAATTTCGGACGCCCTACATCGTTTGCGAGAAGTACCTCATGTGGCTCTTTTATTCATCTAATAATCTAGGCTGGTTTGCATGTTTCAGGATTCAGTTCCTGCCGGATCATATAATGATCCATTCTTGTCTAGTGTGATTTCCATGGTGGCTCCGACATGGTGCCATGGAGCCATTGGAGGCAACCCTCTTCAGGGTGAGTGTTGACAGACTTGAATTCTGAATTTACACGTTTCAACTCAGTAATTCATTTAAGTAAAGTGCAACAGCCAGCCTTTCGGTTATTCGCCTTTTGTGATGTCCCGCCGCTCCTATTGTCCCAGGGACCCCAGTGCTGCGTTCTTTCAAGGGAAGCCATTCCGAATGTTCTGAAACCTCCGTTTTTTGCAGCTGCTTTGCAACACCGTTGCATCAAATCATGACAGAGAAATCAGGCAGGCACACGACTTTCAGGTGTGGTGATCCTTTCTTTTGATGGTTGTCTGGTGAGGTGAAACATATTGTGCACCTAATTCGTTGGAACTTGAAAGCTGTTTTATGCCATTGCGGCACGACTTGACCACGGTCCCGGTGCAGGGAATAATTGCACGATTTTGTAGGTAGTTAGGGACTGAATCCTGTATGTGAAACTTTTTACAATTGTCCACTTTTGTTTTGACCTACTGAAGCGATGCATCCGTGGAACACTCCAACATCATGGCCTGCTCCACCACAGCCTTCGAACCCATCTTCAACGTGGCCGCAATCGACACCGAGCGCACATTTATTTGGACATCCCTCGGCTTTGCATCCTACATGGTCATCCTCCGCTTCGCTCATGCCGTCTACATCCGCCCCAACATCGTTGCCGTTCACCTCATTGACTTCGGCTCCTCATGCAGTACCAGGTCCACAACTTGTACCCACCATGCCTTCACCTTTGGCTCCTGAACCAACTATGGTACACACCGCTCCGTCGACTTTTCCATCTCCTATGGCACCTACCGCTCCACCCGCGTGGCCTTCCACTTCGGCTCCATCCCCTACATCGACTACACCACCTACATCGACTATGACACCAACTCCTTTGCCCAGTTCTCCATACCCACCTCACCACATTCAACCTCCATTACAGATGGACGCATCGACGATCCCTCCAAATGAGCCTTCACCACGGCCCCCAGCAGTCAAAGCAGCTCCCAGGCATCGCTCTGACAAAAGACCGGATCGATCGCGCAGACCAGCTCCGAAAACCCCTCCTCACGCTACACCATCGACACCTCAGACAGCACCGACTTCATCCGTTCCACCTGAACTTGCATCCCTGGGTTCCACCGCACAACAACTGGCCGAATCTGTTCGACTTATCCAAGCTCAGCAACTATTACTCCTGGATTCTCAACGGGCACAAGAACAACGTCAACTCCTTCTTCAACAAGATGAACATCCACCGAATCCTACACCACAGATACCGCCACCTACACCTACACCACCACTGATCGCCACGCCTCCACCTGCACCAAAGGCCAGACCCACCGAACCGGACGTTCAGGACCATCGCATTGTCCCAGCTCCAACCATCGCTCCTCCTCACCAACCACACGGTCCACCACCACCAACACGCCGACCACGATCCCGAACTCCAAGATCACGTTCCCATCGACCTTCTGTACATTCCTATCGCCTTCGCCATTCTCCTCCACGTACAGAGCGACCTCGTTCTCCTCTCCCTCGTCATCGATCATCTACGAAAACCGACAAGAGCCGCAGAACACCATCTCCATACAGACGACGCTCACCACCACGACGCCGCTCTCCTGTGGTCCCTCGACGTCACCGCTCCCATCCACGCCCACGCTCCGCGACACCACGTCACCGATCCCGAGGCCGTGAAGTCATACTTCGACCTGCTGCAAACCCATCCAATCCGAACTACATTCCTACTCCTGATGCTGATGACACCTGGGGTACATGGAACGAAAGCCACTACAACGACGCCTACGACCACCACACTGCTCGACCCAATTCTCCTACTGATCCACCACCATCGGAACCACAAACCAACCCACCAACCCACACTTCAGCACCACTCGGCGCGGTGTCCTTCCGAGTTCCGGACGGCGACAGTGAAAATTCTGAGGTTGCTGATACCATTTCGCTCACCAAGTTTGACACGAATGACATCGACCTCGATGAAATGGTGGCGGCGGCCAATGACCCCCATAGAGTTCGATGCCTGACCGAGCTTGGCCCCGATCATGTTGTTCCTCTACGCCAATCATTGACCCCGGCTATCTTGCAGCTCTTCAACCAGTTTGTGGACGCGATGTTCGAACAGTTGGCTAAACCATACCGCACCGTCAACAACCATCGTATTTGGATCAAAGCCAGCCAAGCCACCGTCAGGAATATTGCCAGGGCCTTTGCACAATCCGACTTACTGGACATCGAACTTGCAAAGCAAACACAAG